GGCCATGCACTAATAGCAAGCACCTATTAAAACTGACACAATTGCATAAGGAGGTGATGGGGCCACAGCCAAGCCAGGCTGTCATTGTCTCCTCAGCGCTGATGTCTACACAGTGCACCAAGTGTGGGAGCAGCATTAACTCTCCGGCAGCAACCCACAGGCTCCCTCCTGGCAAAGCGCCCCCAAGTGACCTTCGGCAAAGCCCCCAAGTGAGCTCACCCTCCTAGGATGTCCCTCCTGGCCCCCTAACCCCCTGAGCGAGTTCTTCCCCATCTCCGAGTCTCGACAGCAGTGGCCAAACCGGTGCAGCCACGAGGCTGTGGCCACCCCCTCGGCCTCCTCCTGCTACACCCACGAGGAAGCCCGAGTTCTTCCTCCGATGGTCAGACATATTTTCTGAGTACCGGACTACATAGCCTATCAGCTCCCTTAACAAGACATAAGATTTGTTAAGTACCTTGCCTGGCACAGAGGGGGTCGTGGGTTTCATTATAACCCTCACACCTGCATATTTGGAGTTTGCACGTTCTCTGCATGGCCGCGTATATTTTTCTCTGGGTTCTCCGGTTTTTCCCTCCACGTTTACAAACAAGCATTGAGAGTATTTGGCTGCGATTCATTTTCCGCATGATAAGCAACTTTGTTTAGCTATCATTTGTGGCCAAGTCGCTTCTGAAAAAGAGTGAATAGCTCAGTGGGCCTTACCTGGTAAAAAAAAAAAACGTAGTTTAGTTTACGTAAGTATTTCACTTGATAATAATAATAATGCCCATGTGTGTGGATCTATAATGTTCCCGTGTGTCAATCTTGGACCCATATCCTAAAGAGAGAGTCCTTGCCGATAAAAGTTTGGCAGTTTACCAGAATTGATTCAAGCAAACCTGACTGTATTGAGGAGAGACTGTGTCAAAACCGGTCCAGAGTCTGCTGCTGAAATTATGCACTCCCAGAAGGCCGTGTGGCTCATGGGTTGTGTAAGCAATAATTGTTTTATAATCTTCGTGGAGAGACGGATATCTGAAGGAGATGCATTTTCTTCTACCAATGCACAACATGCAAGATAGACTTGTCAGATGCTCAGGACTGGCTCAAACACAACTTCATACATGTTACATCGCCAGGAATCAAATGCAAGATCATGGTACAATGTGCCAGTACACACATACAATTGCACAATAAAACAACAATCCCCTACGTAGCCTTTAACAGAATGTCAGGACAATTACTGTTCGCAAGCACCTACGAAGGCCGACCCAGCACACAATGGGGTGGGTGGCCAACACCACGCCCGACTGCTTTTGTCTCTCTCGGTGGTGACGTTTACACATCACACAAGCGATTCATTTGTGGCCGAGTCGACCGAGGGGAGGCCCAGCAATGGTTCAAATAATCTTCACTGGTGTTGGCCGTGAGCGGGATTCAAACTCGGGTCGCCGGGTTAGAAGTGCAGTGCGCTCACCGCTGCTGCACTACCGCTCCCCACCCACAAATGCACACCCACATGTACACATACATGGAATTATACACACACACAGGCAAGGAAAAACACTCCCTCACACACATGCAGGGTGAAAAGCATTAGCATTGTACAGTGCACCAAAGCGGCCTGGATTTATGGCAGAATCCTGTTAGTATGACAACTTACCCCTTTTGGAATTGTTACAGGAATGCCGGTCAAGGTTTCGGCAATTCAACGGGGCCTCAATTAATTCAATCAATCATTCAATCAATCGATCACTCATGTATATTCGGAAGCAGGTGACAAGCCACATTACAGTCTCCCGCCTTCAGTGGAGAGCTGGGCGTGAGTTCATTCCCTTGAGCACAATTATTCCGCTGTCATGGGGAAAAACCTCTGCAGTGGCTCGGAAGGCAGACCCCATGTGGCCTCATCACATGCCCCACAACTCCGCCACCGTATATATACTGTACTGTGTCCCGTGGTGTTATTGTTATTGAGAATATGATGGCGATCACTCCTACATTCGTAAAACAATGATAGAAACACGGTTACTGTGGTTTGGTTCCGATTGCAATGGCTTGCCGTATGGATTTTCATGAGCATCGTGCGCGTTGTGCAGTATCCAGGAATTTTGCAACCTTAAGTCGACCAAATTGGTTGCTCAAAGTCAACGAGCCCTCAGGGTAACCGTGCACATCCCACACACGCATGGAAGAAGCCCATCTCTCCATGGGGGTCACCACTGCGCTGACTTCCCACAATGTGGTACTCAATTCATTCACCCAGAGCCATGCTGGGGATGAGTCGACGCTGGACCAGAATGTTAACTCGATTGTGCGCCAAGCACTTGAGCCACCCGGCCCATCTTGTGGAGAATAATTGATTACTAATTTAACTGCTTTACTCGGACACACAAAATGCTTGCCTGTGTGTTGCCTGCGTCGTTTTAAAAAGGATGCAATTTGCGCAGTAAGTGCGAAATTGTTGGTGGTACCTAGATCAGCCTCATTGTGCCGAAGAGTTCAGGAATATGCTGTTGCAGCACTTAAGCTGCAGAAACATTTAGCCGTATCAATTGCAGTAATATCTATAATAACACACGCCATTTCGGAACTATTACTGCGCTGAATAATGCTCAGAGCTTTGGATGTGCACTTTGAGGTTTAGAGTATTCCGCTGTGAAAGCCAAAGGCGTGCAGAGTTAGCATGTGGCATGTGCACAAAGGACACACACGGACTGACTCAGAAACATTCACTTTGTTGTCTGCATGCTTTTTAACATGTGTAAGTCTGTCTGTAAGTCTGTCTGTAAGCATGCATGCCTGTTAGTACAATTATGTACAGAGTCTAATAAAAACGACAAACTCAAAACCGTTAGATAATATGTGCGTACGTATGTTGAACAAAATGGAATAAAGTCTTTAAAATATATAGTCTGTATTTTTTGCGTAAAAAAAATTCTCAAATTTAAATTCACGCTTTGGGAATTTTGTGGAAAAGCCAAGGCATGCCTGTGGCCTGTGGGACCGTCATTGTGTGTATTCGAACAAGACGCAAATGTGTTGTAACAATAAAATCCGGAATTTCTGCGTTATGCAAAAAAGCCAGCGGCATTTCCTGAATAAGTGCATTCTGGTCCTCTTGTCTTAGATCGCCGTCAAGATTAATTTGAGCGAATGTGACGACTGACACAAGCAAGGGGACAGGAGGGCCACACTGCACTTCTGCAGGAAATACTCTGATGGCTTTTCACATATGCTCAACGGTTGTGTGTGTGTTTTTAGCACGTGCTTGTGTATTGTTTGAAACTCATGTGTTGGGTTTTTTCCCGGCCTGCGACTATGATTCTGTTATGATGGGGTTTTCTCATAATTTACAGATTTGATTGATGTGTGTTTTTATCTGCACGCATGCATGTCTGTCTGTTTGCATGTATTTAAATGCCCCGGTGTTTGTAAGAACAGCAGCTACGAACTATGAGAAAGAACATCATGGCTCATCGGGTTTTGCAGCCTGAATCTAATGTCGATGTCTATTGTAATAGTGAAAGTTAAACAACTACAGATACAGTTACAGAGAATTCTCACGCACTGCACGTGCAATTCGACTATCCAAATACACACGTAGAATAAGGGTTCATCTAGAATGAGGGTTAACCTGTCGCCACCTCCGTGCATATCCTCACATAGCGTGGTGGACTTGACTGAGCACGAACGATGAACCTGAAATGGAATGATGGGTGTGTGTAGCACCTACGGGCAACCACGGTAGCCCCCCTTGGAAAACAACGAGAGGATTTATTTGCAGGGCGACTCTACTTATCTGTTATTAACCCCCCCCCCCCCCCGAGAATGTGTTGCAGTACGTGCACACAGAGGGCTCGTCCAGGTGCACCAATTACCCTCACAGAGAATAGGGCGAATCTGCCGCACGACTCTGACTATACAGAAATAAAAAATACTGACAATAGTGGTTTTTGCTGATCGATGAGAGAGGCCGTGGACAATCGGGGCCGTGGATAACAGGAGAGCGGATATACGAGGAGATGCACTGCAAACGCATTGTTGTTGCTCTGCATTGATATTTTTCATCAGTTGCAGCCTCGGAATATGCCCGCTATGTCCTTGTACTTTTCAAAGCATCGCCGAAGAAATCTTCGAATGTTCTCAAAATAAGAGTAATCATCCGACTGTAGAGGCAAGGACATTGGCAAGCGGGAGTTGCATTTTGCCGCCTGTTGCAGTTTGAGCCCTTGCGGCCATTTTGGTCGGGTGCCGCGGTGGCAAGATGTTAACTACCTCGCCAGGTATGCAGGAAGTCGTGGGTTCGATCCCGACCCTGATACTTGTATATTTTGGAGTTTGCATGCTCTCTCTCCCCGTAGTTGCATGTAGTTTTCTCCGGGTCCTCCGGATTTTCCTTCCACATTTATAATCAACGTGCGTTGAGAGTATTTGGCTGCTATACATTTCCACGTGATAAGACACTTCGTTGCGCCATCATTTGTGTCTAGGTCGCTTCTGAAAAAGAGCTATATAGCTCAGTGGGCCATACGGTGCAACATAGCGGCTTAAACCTGCGCAATAAGAATGTATGTATATTGAACTTCTTCCGCACCGTACGTAGCCAACCGTGCTAATTGTAAGCGTGGGAGAAGGACAACAAACTAAACACAAAAAAGCAGTTCTAAAGAAATTAGTTTTCGATCGAGATTTAAAAGTGCAGAGCTCCAGTGGCTTCCTATTATCAGAAGCAAGAGCATTCCAGACGGCCGCAGAAGTGCATCTGAAAGCGCGCAATTGTGGTGACAATCTTTGTTCGATGGCTAGCAAAAAGCCACGGCGGGGATGACCGGAGTTTTCGCGTGACGATTTATGCTCCTCGACGAGATACAGCAACGTAAAACGGCGCAAAGAGCAAATGCATTAATGGCTCAATTAGATTTTGGCAGAGCGGCCCCCCTCGGGCATTAGCGAGGAGATACGATGCTTGCGTGCAGCTTGCACTCCGTGTCACCGATGGCCACACGCTCCCTGACCTGTACGTCGTCGACGGAGGCGAGGATGGTGGTGCCCGTGTCCTTGTAGGGGACCAGGGTGAGGCGCACGGGCTCCCAGTCGCGGCCCATCTTGGCGAGGGCCTCCTCCAGCGTGTGCTCCTTCCTCGCCAGGTTGCTGACGGAGGCCAGGGCCTCCAGCTGCCGCTCCAGGCCCAGGGAAAGCACCTCCTGCAGGCAGGTCTCCTCGCGCGCCGGCAAAGGCACACCCGCCTGCACGCACACACGCCGTCAGGCAGAGACAAAAAGACACGCGCTCACAATTGCGCCCTCAATGATTGAGGTGCCACGTAGCGAAACGTTTACTACCTCGACCAGTATGCAGGAGGTCGTCGGTTCGATTTCGACCCTGAAGCCTGCTGTATATTTGGAGTTTGCATGTGTCTCTCCCCTCGGTCGCATGGATTTTTCTCCGGGTCCTCCGGTTTTTCACTCCACATTTAGAAACAACGTGCGTTTTAGAGTATTTGGCTGCTACTATAAATATCCACATCATAAGCTACTTCGTTGAGCTATCATTTGTGGCCAAGTCACTTCTGAAAAAGAGCTGTATAGCTTAGCCAGCCTTACCTGCTAAAATAAAATAATAGTTTAGTTTTAGAATCGCTCAGGCCACGCTCTCATTGGCGTTAAGTACGGCGTGAAAGAAGTTCAACATACACAGATACATTCCCGTTATTGATATGAAACAAAACAGATAACAAAAGTTTAACACATTTGTCTTGAATTATAACACTGCCATCAAGAGGAAGCGTACATAACAGTGGCCCTTGTTCACAGGAGAGAAATCTGCGGTAAGAAGGACGGCTATCGGCTGAAACGTCACCTGTTATACATCCTTCCTCTTCAGGGAAATGTAATCAACGAATTATATTGGCGTGGTTATTTTTTACACCTTTACGCCTCTGCTCAACCAAACTGTGCTCCACCACGAAATTGCGGTATCAAACATCTCTCTCTCTCTCTCCTTTTCTCGCAACTGCTGAACTCTTTCGCCCTCCTCCATATTCACAAGTCCCCCGTAACCTTTCTCAATTCAAGAAAATGTCTTCTTAACTGCCCTACTATCATTAGTGTTCTTAAGTTTGGCCATTTTGCATTTTTAGACATTGGGGAAATTGTGTGATAAAAAAAAAATTGCAGTCCATTAAATACTACAAATTACAGCAATAAACGCGCGGCAGTACCGTTGGACGTTCCACAGTCGAAATTAAAGCGATATTTTTTTCCATATTCTAAATGGAAAAAAACAAAAACGTGCAACACTATACAGTATTGTGCACAGTGGATCGCGCATGGTGCTACAAACCCAACCTCCTGAGATGAATTCGCGGCCACGGCAAACATCAGTGGCGAGCGATAGACAAACTGGTCCTGGGCCTCCCCTACGTCGACTCCGCCTCAAATGAGTACTGAGTGTAGCGTGTAAAAAATTTGGAGGAGACGAAAGGTGGCCAGTTTTGGGTACGAGCCACACTACCTCGTCGTGCGCCGTGCCCGCCTTCTTTCGTAGGCGCTCGCTAACAGCAATGCCTCAACAGTCTCTTGAAGGCTACTCGGGAAGCCTTTGTGTACGTGCATTTATTTGTGATTGTACTGGCACTGATGAAAACAAATCTCAATGACATGGTTGTCAAACCACTGTTGAGAAGAATTTAATTTCATCTACATTGATTTCCTACGATCATTGGTTGTTTCTTAATATGTATATCTGTACCATTACAATGTCTGCAACGTGAAGGCCTACTGATATACATGTGGGCGCAAACAGCCGCTAATAATGACATCGAATGAGATGCAGAGGAAAAAATCACGAGCATTCATGCCTTTTAATAAATTAAATATTAAAAGTCTGCACTTATAACACGTGAAAAAATGGAGAAAATAATTTGACAATTAAACACATAAGAGCTCACGTTACCACACATACTATGACATTTGACACAGCTAAAACAAAATACTTTGATGGCAAATGTGTCTATGTGCTGCCTAATCTTTCAGCATATTAATTTTTTGGAAGTACAAAATAATTACTCAAGACTCAATTGATCAATCTAGGGCTACCATCAGTAGATAAAAGGCAGCATAAAAAGAGTCTGCAGGCAGTATTTATATTTGCATTGTTATTTAAGCTAACATTAAAAAGGCATTATCTGTGAAATGTATTAGATTAACTGGAATATATTTCTCCAATTGTGAAAACCAATGGTGGAGCGGCAGCCAAATAATTGAACGTATCTGAGGGGAACGTCAACCGAGAAGATGGAGTGATGAAATCGGCTCGTGCAGGTGCTGGGTGGATTACTACGTGCAAAAACAAGACGGCTTGGGGAAATCTTCATCCAGCAGTGGACTGATCATTGCCGATGATGATCATGATGATATAAATGCTAAAGTCAAATAGCGTCCCAACTGAAATGAACATTGTGTGTTTTTCACGTCAATTGGTTAGCCTTTGCCAGTGGTAGAATTCCACTCTCTGATGACAAGGGGCAAGACTCCCCGAAGCACAGTCGCTGCTGACTTTGCACACACGTGGTGCCCCAATAACAATGTTGGAGTGAAAATGGCCTGAGCCAACCCAGGACCCCGAACTGAACTCACGACTCTCGATCGTGAATCGAGAGCCCTGCGATAAACCACCGGCCCGGCTCAATACTTCAGGTGGCATTATCACTGCAAGTCCTTGTCGGCAGCGGGTGGCGTGCGCAATGAAATAATCCCCCGCAAATTACCGGCGGCTGCGGGAAGCAAACCGTGAGCCACACGCAAAAAGAAGCAGCGAACGCACTGATCACTTGGCTTCCCAGACAAATGTATATTTCTCTATTCCACAGGCCGACACAGGGGCGAGTGCCTCGGTTCCACCGCTAATTTGAGTGCGCCCATCTGAGCCCCTCTGATAACGTACTGCAGTTTCATTACCAATAAACATGCCTGCCTCGGACAGAATTCTAAGCCCTGCATTTCATCCAATTCCCTCGTGGACTCACACGAGAGGAAGAGAAAAAACAGCAGCGTAATTTGCACGCAAAAAAAAACCACAGAGGCTATCATGTGCCAACACCATGGGTAAATTTGCCAATGCATTTATTTTTTTACTTGAAGAGCTTGTAAATTGTAAGCAATATGCATACACCTTCATTGACATGACCTGTTTGTTTGTACCAAGTCCTAACACTAAATAAATATATGGGCAAACAAATAATGAGTTTTACTGCTGTTGTGTGCATGGACACATCCTGTGACTTTCCCATGGGTAGGGAATCCTGCTATGGGATCATGTGAACTCATTACAGCGCAAACTAGGCTGTGCTGTAGTCGTAATAAAGGAAAACAAATTCTGTCCAGCGCTGTCGTAATCCTGTTAACAGGATTAAAAGCCTGCGTCATTATTCACATGAATAGCAACTCCTTGTCTGGGTGGTGCAGTTGGGAGAGTGGAAAGTTTACGAGTGCACATCTCCGGCGGAAGGCAACTCAGCCCATCATAATAACAGGGTTGATAAAATATGTGTTTAAAATCCTCCCATGAAGAGACATCTCACCAACATGCCGGGCGGAGGTGGCTATGAACGCCTGTAATCCAGCACTGTGGAGGCAGCGAGGGTTCGTGGATCACACACTCGCTGTGAATGCACCTTTCCATCGGCATTGTGGTGGAATATACTGGCCCGCTAGGGCAGCAAAAATGTGGAATCCACCTGTTTCATCTGTGTGGGATTGTTTTTCCTCGCATGCGTGGGTTTTTTCTCCAGGCGCTCCGGTTTCCTCCCACAGGTAAACACGCATTCATCCTTTCCCGTTCCGATGAAGTATGTGTACGTCATCAGTATGAACGTCATCGGAAAGGAACTGGAAGTAAAAATTGGAAGAAAATAACTTTGTCGGTACCGAGACTTCCACAAGGCCATGTGGGAGGGCGTGTGGCACAGTTTGGCGCCAGCTATCATAGACTGCAGTCATCTCGGTACTGTTCTCTGCGGTGAGTACAATGTATTTAAAAACAACGGCGCTATGCCTCTGAATAAAATTTATGCTGAACTGCTCGCCGTCAGAGAACGGCAAAGAGGGTTGATAACACCTTTATAAATAGAGGAACTCAGAGCTTGGGCAATAGTTTGCACCAGTTCAATGGGTGGCTGCCTTCCCGCTTGTCTGTGGTTCTTTGCACCCCTGACCGTTAATCTCTTTTTGAGAGTGAGCGTTATAGCATGCGAGTTACAAGTTATAATTAATAATATTATTAACGTGGGATTGTGAAATTTATACGACTGAGTGCCAGCACAGTGCATGAAAGGGTGGTTTGGCCAGCAACGTTTCTCTCCACGAGGTAATTTAATATCGGGTGAGTGCATATTCCTGGCACTGAACATCACCAGTGCCAACTGAAGCTTGCTCTTGGTCGAATCAGCTGATTCTCGAGTGGAATCGTGACTCCAAATTGTGATGTTTTTATTTAATTACCAGGAGTGTCATTTATTACGAGTTACTGGGCCCTGTCGTAGGAATGAGGAATCTCCATCGGTAGCTCAAGGACACTGAAGGAGACGAGCACCGTCTAATGCTCATGTGACAAAACACATTCCTGCGGAGGGAGCTGGTAGGAACGTTGGGTTGCTCGGTCAATGGCCAGGGTCAACGGCGGCGTGGTGTATTCCGCAAATATGACCGACTGTGAGGGCGGGCACAAGCCGGCGTGAGTAGGTTAAACGTTGAGTTTTATAAGGGCACCACGGGGTGACCAGCCCCTCCCCAACCAGCCCCACCCCTCCCTCCCACCCCCCACCCAGCCCCACCCTCCCCACCCAGCCCCTCCCGACCCTCCCCACCCCAGCCCCTCCTACACCCTTCCCTACCCACCCAGCCCCACCCTCCCCACCCAGCCCCTCCCCACCCAGCCCCTCCCCATCCTCCCCTCCCCACCCAGCCCCTCCCTCCCCACCCAACCCCTCCCTGCACGACGGACGGACGGACGGACACAATAATCCCCTGTGGGCTGGTGTAACCAGGAGGTTCCTACCAGTAAAATGTTTTTATTATTACAGCAAAGTATAATAAAGAAGCATATCAATGTGGGGGATAGATACTGCAGCAATAACAAATTGGAGAAACTCAAAGTAGAAAGGTGACCAAGGCAAAATAGTTCCAAGTTGGGAGTAAGAAATTATCCATGAATAGGCACAAAATCTAGAGGGTGAATCCATTCTGCAAGCTGCTAGACAACGCATTTTTTGTGATTAGAAAGCTTCACGCTGTTAAACATAATAGGTCCACAATCGCTCAGAACTCCATGCCTTGATTTAACGGTCGCGGCGATTGCGCTGCGTTGGCGCACGGCTCGGGGGCCCTTACCTTGACGCTCATCATCTCCCAGTGGCGCTGCTTGATGCCGGGCGTGCACAGGACGGTGATGAGGGGCATGTTGATCTTGAACTTCTCCAGCCTCGCCTTGATGGCGGTGGCCACTCGCATGGGGCCGTGCATCTCGGGGTGATTGAACACCTTCGTGAGCCTGTAACTCGTCTTCCACAGCGTCTGCACCTGCGACACGTGTGACACACGCGTGACACATGCGTGACGACACGTGTGCGACGACGCAACACCGGGAGATCGATGTGGCCCGATACTCGACGGTGAACTTTCGACATCTCGCCGGCTACTTGCTCTGCTCAACTAAGCTCGACAATGAACATGTAAAATGTTTCTGAACAATTTCCCCGCAGCATGAAAGATGCAAGTCAGTCGTTCATTAATTCAATAGATTCAATGTTGCGGGCGACTGTCACCTCGCTTGGCCAGGACAGAAATCAGTGGGTGGATCAGCGGGGCTGGGTCTCATGATAAATTCAAGAAGTGGCTGGGTGACTGGGTGGCTCAGGCTGCTAATACCGTGTCAGGGCGCTGAGCCAGTATCACTGAAATGATGGGTTAACCAAATGGCCAGCCAACGATAATAAAAATTCGTTGTCAAGTATTTTTGGTGAATGGTTTTCAGAGCAATCACCAACCACTGCACTCACAACAACTTACAAATTAGGTTTTTTCACATCAATCAGCCTAACCCCAGGTCTAAGAGTCAATATCCAGCGAAGGAAGGGCAATTGGCATGCAGTGAGTCATTTGTTTAAAAGCAAGGAAGAGCTCCATCTAGCGTCTGCGCGCTCCAAGGGATGCGGTTGAATTGCCCAGCGATTCGATGCAATGTGACGACTCGGGGTCAGAGTTCAAGTTAAGAATCTATTACTTTTGTCTCGTGAGTTTTCTATCCCATTTGTGTTGCCTCTCCTTTTTCCCCGTCTTGTTTTCACACACTGCTCACTCCGTTATCCAAAATGTAACATGAGTACATAATTAGGATGTCATTTTCATGAACAGGAAATAATCTGTTCTTACACGCACAGTTCTACGTGTGTTTTGTGAGCGGAGTTATTTGAATCTAAGCGATGGGTCTACATCGGATGGCCCGAGCCAGTATTGGCAATCCGTGGTTTTATATTCACTTCAAACAAAAAGGTAACGGACAGGATTAATCACTGGTGAGATAATAAGCTAAGTCCACCCACGTTTGGCAAAATTAATTCTCGATTCTCCGATCATGTGCCCGCACATTCTGCAAGCGAGCCACAACACAGCCAGATTGCAGTACGAATAGTCAGCGTGAAAATTGCATACGCGTTACAGCCACGGACAACGCTGATTCATCATTAAGGTTAGCTCATTAGCCTGCTTGCGTAGTTCATCACCAACGAAAGAGACTCCACTTAATGTAACACATTGCATTCGTAAAAGATTGCTACGTTTAGATGCTTGTTAACAAGAAACACTTAGTGCAAAATGTTGATTCAGAATTAGAGCTATGAAATTGATGCCAGAACAGGGAAAATTCTCACAATGCCACGTTTAAATGGCACTTGTGGTGATGGGGAGAATATTACTATAATTGTTATTATAATTATAAATTGGAAATGATGGTGGTTATTTATTATACAATTTTATACAGAAAATAGTCGTGTGTTTATATACGGCTGCATACGGATAATGATATTAATGGGAATTGTCATAGTGAAGATGAATGGGATAACACATGGAAAATACAAACACTGAGCTGAATTATAATGATACTCTTTGCTTGATGATTTATAACATTATTATACATTTGTAAGAGATTTAGTGGCAATTAGTCACATATTTAAATAGTGATTGGAACAACTCAAAGAAGGTAAAACATTGGGAGTTGGCACATTATCAGAGGTGAAGACTTTCTGATGGGAGCTGCGGAAGGCCAAGTAGAAACAAGGAAGGCAGTGCTCGACGATTTGAAGAATGGACAGCGCACGGGCGGACAGGCTGGACGAATCTGGGGCTAGCAGCCACCCTGAGGCAGAGGACTCTTCTGACCCCGTGCCCCCTACTGGACATCTGTGAACCAAACATTGCTTCATAGCTCATCGGATTTTCTCCAGGATAAGTAAAGATTCTGAACTCAAAGAAGACCCAAAATGCAGGGAGCAATCTCCAGATGTTGATTGTGAGACTACAAGAGGAGGACTTGGCAGTGAGGAGACAGCCTGTCCATCAGATGCTGAATTATGGCAGAAGGCAGCGAGGGAACGGCGGTGCGGTGGTGTTGGCGAGGACGTTGCTCATTAATTTTTTTTTTGCAACCTAACTTGGGCCCGGTACAAAACGTCGATCGGAGAACGCGATTCCGTCGCGACAGGGCACCTATGAAGGGAAGGAAATTGGGCTCGCTGCCTCAGCCTGGTGGGGGGGGGTAAGGGAGAAAGGGGTAAGATAACTAACATACTGGGGGAAGGAAAGGGACAGGGGGAGGGAGGAAGGAGAGGGGGGGAACAGGTGGGGGCGGGGCTCCTTAATCGACCGCCGTGGCGTGCGGGCCCAACTCACCTCGTCGGCCACCTGCTCGGCGTTGACGAGGTGGATGGGGCCGCCGAGGCAGCTGTCGGCGAGGCTCTGCAGGGCCACGGCGGCGCGCCACAGCCGCTCATAGGGCTCCTTCGCCTGCTGCAGCTCCAGGATCTGCGGGTAGGAGCTCCCGGTGCCCGTGCCCAGCAGCTCCTCCTCGCGGTTGATCAGCGACTTCTGAACACCGCCCGAATGTAAAGCCACACGTTACGTACGACACGCCCCACCACTCCGAATGCGAACGTGAGTAGCGCTCCGTTCTGTCTCTCCGCGTGAGAATAATGAGTGCGTTTAAGGCAATCGGCCTTTTGGCTTTCTAGACCAATATTACCCAACCAAACTCTGGACCGATTTCGACCATCAGGCTCGTTAAAACAAATGCTGTGGGATGGGAATAAGAGGGTCTTCATCACAGTTGCTGCTGCGGAGCAATGCTTAGCACACTGGACATGCAATCCAGAGGTCGCTGGTTCGACCTTGTGGCACGGAAGTGGCTTATCACGTGGACATTTGTAGCAGCCAAAAACTCAAAATACATGCTTCTAAATGTTGAGGGAAAAACTGGAGGACACTGATAAAAATGCATGCGACCACAGGGAGAACATGCAAACTCCAAATATACAGGTGTCAGGGTCGGGATTGAACCCACGACCTCCTGTATACCAGACGAGGTAGTTAACATTTCACCACCGTGGCGCCAAACTTGCCACTGGGAGGTTGTGAGCTTAAATTGCGGTCAGGGATAAACTCAGACAATCATCCCTCAAGGGTTGGTAAAATGAAGTACCTCCATTTGTAGGATGACAAAGGTCCAAACACATAGGATGACCTCTGGCATTTCTAACCAAATTTATATTTCGCGTGACAAATACATATATTCACGTCCATATGTAACGTCAGCGGCACGTGATATCGGAACTGGTTCCCGGACAACACCTCCTGACCAACCTGCTCTGACCAGCGTGGTGAAGTGTGGTCAGACAGTTTCCATTACTAACACAGTGTGGGCAGAGGCCTTCACCCACCAGCAGTGGAATGATCAAGGGCTGTACATTTATATTATTAATAACCATGATTAAAGTCAATAATGAATGTTAATTTTATTGCCTTAGTTTTGTGCTGACTTGTGTGTTTGCTTGCATGCGTGTATGACGTATTTGATTGTGTTTATTTCAACACTGTATTGTTACGCTGCGGTGAATTCTGGTCCCCCATATTTGAGGCCCAATCTGCTTTAGCGAGCAATTTGAGTCTAAATGGTTTCTGGACAAATTCTAAACGACGTTCATTGACTCAGTTTTTGTTTGCCCATCAACACTGACCCTTACGGAAGGACAGCACGCAGAAAATACAGACGTGACCCTTTTAGCTCAGATGCGCTGTTGAGCTCAAGTATTGTGAGCAAAAAGCTGTAAACAAGGGCAAGGCAGCTTTTGGGGAGTGGACCTATCAGTACAAATATGGTTACCTAAATCTGACGATTGTTAATATTGATAGAGCATCACACATTCATATATGCCTGAATAAACAGTTAGGAGGCACAGACCAGATTTACATATCTGGTTCATTAAAATCCACGCCACTGCCTTGGCTGCCCGCAAACTCTCTCACGTCGCCCCTCGGCACCTTTTGCTGTGAAACCTTCGCGTGACAGAGACGTGCTCTCTACCCCAGCAAAGACCTTCCCCTGCACTGAGACCTCATTAAAACCTACCGACAATCCGTCTCAAGTCAAGGAAGCCATCCTGGACAAGCGCCAAAGCTCTCAATTCAAACTCGTCAGCCTTAAATGAGTGGTGGAAAACAAAACACGGGTGAGACTGCCACCAACCCGAAACAATAATCTTGAAATTTTGCTGGCTAGCAGAACCCAACATTGGTATTACCTCCTGAACATAATCCCACGATCTTGCACACGGATAGAAACGAATATCTTGAAGCCATCGACCGGATTTGAAACTTGGGTATACGGAAAATCATGCGGCTAAGAAGATATCATGTTGGTGACCCGGAAATGGAATTGGAGGTTAATTTTCCAAACCACTGCTCCCGAGGTAGTGCAAATCGTGAACACCGAAGGCACGAACGTTGACAGCATGCGATACTTTGCACCACCAATCTCCTTTTTTTTGGTACATACCCTACACGTACGTCTGGCGCGAGACGTCTCTGTGCAGGATGTTGACAGTCTTTGCTCGTGTTGATATCCAGAGGCATATTAGCACGGTAAGCGGAGCTATCACTGCCAGCGTGGTGACATGACATCACCGTGCTGCGGCTAAGCCATGTCGTGTAGACTTTCAGCATCCCCGCGTCTGCATCACGCAGCAGTCCGCGCGTTTGCGTTACGCAGTGCCGACGAACGCACTGGGGGTGACGCGGTGATGTGCGGCTGATTTTTTTTTCTCCTCGGACGAAAAAGCCGGGAACAGCACCTGCGTTGATTTCCTTATTGCTGAGACCAGCGCTGCGTGTGGGCGCAGGTTAAAGGAGGAGCTTGCGGGGCCAGCGCATCGCACCGCGCTGAGGCCGCCGAATTGATCGGCGCACGTGCGGGCCAATTCATCTCCACGCACGATCCAATGTAGCGAATGAATGGTCCGATGAAAATAAGTCGGTAAGGTCTGTATGGGTTCAAATCAAGAAGCAATCAGCCCCTTCGGTCGGCGTGTATGGGAATAGCATACGTGTAATGCTTTCTGAGAGCATTAAAGGGGCTTTGTGTTGTAGATGTGGCGGGCGGCTTTCAGTGTTGATGGATGTGGAGTGCGCCGAGCCGGTAGAGATACCTGGCTTTGAATGCGGGCAGCTACCTATTCAAAGAGTAAGCCAGGCTCTTAAGCGTAGAGAGCTTGACGATCTCAACCCAGCAGCCAATGTGTCAGATCAATGAGCCGTCACTGCTGTGATCTTGGGTTTCAATCAGGCTCAAGTGGTAAATGGAATCCACGCTCAAGCAACGTGGCGTGGTGCTTATCTCCTTTGGCAGCCCTGGATTAGTGTTAGAAACTCCACATTCCGACTGTGGAGTTGGTGGGATTGCACTCTCGCTATGTGACAAACACTGTTTATTTCTCATAAAATAGTAACGACTTTGTATCGTACGTGAAGGTGCGATGGCCTGCGTCAACCACCAACCCATTGGAGTTGCATTCTTCTAATTGGTGGTGAGTCAGGCAGTGTGCCAACGCACCACCTAGCTGCACCCAGTAAAGCCATCCAGGGTTCCCAACTCAGAGGTAGAACCAAACCAGGACCTGTCAGGGGAAGATGAATATCTCACAATACCGGAAGAAGGGAGACCTGCATGTAAACGCATTATATATTGAGTGGCGCAATGTTACACAACAAATTAAAACTTGGACAAGTGATGTCGCACAGATTTCCCCGGACAGCTGCCTCCAAAAGAAGACAATCCTGGGAATTCAGGACCGGTGGCAACCCTAGCAACCACCTAGCGTAGCAAGGTGATGGTCTGGTCTCAGTAGCCACCTGGAGGAGCACGAAATAAACTGGTTACTTTCTTCATTTAGCTTCTCCCAGCTATGAAAACACATACATCTGATTCAGATAATTTCCTCAAAACTGTCGTGGGAAAAGTATGACTGCTTGAATAGGAGATCGAAATATTTCACTATTTTTTATTTTACCGGGTAAGGCCCATTGAGCGATGTAGCTCTTTTTCAGAAGCGACCTGGCCACAAATGATGGCCCAATGAAGTGGCTTATCATGCAGTAATTTATAGCAGTCAAATGCTCTAATCGTATGTTTCTAAATGTGGAGGGAAAAACCTAAGGACCTGGAGAAAAATCCACGCCATCATGGGGAGAACATGCAAACTCAAAATATACAGGGGTCAGGGTCGAGGTCGAACCCACAACCTCCTGTATTCCAGGCGAGGGAGCTAACATCTCGTCACCGCGGCACTAATTTAGGAGATATCTGACGAGCAGTAATGTTGATGTTCTTAGTCCAATCATGTAAATGTGGCGATGCACTAAATTCAGCCAATCTCTGCCCTGGGATCTCAAAAAAATTAGACAAGTGGAATGGGCAAAAACGAATCTTTTACAAATCACAAAATCACGTACTGGCGCCGTGGCAGGAAACATGACTCGCAAGCGGAAACGTTGTGAGTTTTAAATGCCAGCATTCCTCTGGGATCGATATGATGAGCATTACAGCGCTGGCAATCAACGGTGATTGTCTTGTGGGGAGACCACCCCCCTCGGGAGGAATGTGGACATTTGTAACAATCTGCTCAGGGCCACGGAGTAGAGATGAGCCCCGTCCCCATTTGAGAAAGGGAAACACTGTCCCTTCGAGTGTTGGATAACGGAGGCCTCCTGAAATGGCTCCAACCTCTGGTGAGTTTTTTGATGATGTGCAACTCGATGAAGTTCTGGCAGAACCTTCGTATTCACGTCACCCCTGAGCAACGTTCAAAGTACAGTGATGATAAAAACAAATCTTCATACCTTGCAAGACAAGAATGGACAACAAAAGAGGATAGAGATTAATAAAATCAGGGCATTAATTGGGCAAAAATACGACATCTACCCAGGAAAGCAAAACCGAAGCCCAATTCTGTTCTATCAGGAGAATCTCACTTTTGGTTCATGGTCAATTAATGTGTAATTAATTATTTACTTGTGGGAGGAAACTGGAGTGCTGAATTACAGATACAGACAGTTATTATTCGTATTGGCGGCATTGACAGACATTAATCCAGCCGTGGAACGAGCGTAACGATAAGCAAGGTCTCTGTTCAGAAAACGGTGGTCACGTGACGGTGACATCGTCACTGCAGCAGAATGGGGAAGAATTCTGAGGTGCATATATAGTTTTGGCCAAGGTGTGATGTGGCACCACACCTCACCAACACCTCCTTCCGCTAAATTCTGTGGTTGAAAATTCAGCATCTGACCTCCAAGGTATCTGCTCTCGCGGAATCCCACTTTCTGGACCAGGGTGTTTTTCTTGGTTTCCCGAATTCCTAGGTGCTACTCCACACCTGCCCTCCCACGTCTCCAAAAACCCATCAACACCTCCTGTTGCTGACACTACTACAACACTTTCCAAAGTGTTAACTTTTTCCTCTGCCATCACATTCCGAGTTTCTTCACGTTAACCTGTACCCGAAAGCCCCGACGCTTCGTTGCATTTTTAAAGCCCG